GAAGTCGGAAGAGAGAACCACAAGTGAGAGAAGAAACTGTTAGCATAGAACTTACGGTTACATCTAGTCATTTTCAATTGTAAAATGATGAGATCTTGCTGCCAATCTAGTCAGTCAGTTATATGTCATGCGTGATACACGCTTAGGCGATCATGGATTTTTCGATACATAACTGACAAGGCAGATTTCTTTCTGCAGTAGGTTGCCATTTCTTTCTGCGGCAGACCGATTACCATCCAAGACTATAGAAGCCAGTCTGTTCTACTATTTACCCATAACTTGGGAAGGGGGGGAGGGAGAAGAAGAGGATTCACACCTTTCCCAAGGGTATTAGCACGTAAGTGAATGTAATGGATTCGACTGGAATTCGAACTCGGCTCTCCGATACTTCAATCGCTATCCATTCGTCCACCGTGCCTCCTGCCAATCTAGTAATGTTCTTAAATTAATACAATCTAGGTACGATAGATAAAAATTTCATTAGAACAATTACCATGAAAGTATTTATAGAAAAGCTACATTTATATTTATTTACGGCAGTGGGAAATGACTGAAGCCGGGATGCCAGGCCAGGACAAATAACACTGCAGATTATTTTATTTTATCAAGCGTCAGATCAGATGTAACAGTAATACCCAATGCATAGATGAATGGTAAACTTATAAATGTTTAAAATAGATTCTGGCGAGAAAAATTATCTAAGCTCGATGCAGTTTCTTCTCTCGCTCTTCTCGCTTGTGTAACTCTCTTCCTAATCTTTTTTTCCAGTTAACAACTTCAAAAACAACTGTTCTTATATCACTCTCTCTTCTTAATTACTCAGTTACTCTCTTTTTTTATTGGCTTCCTTAGTGTGAAATGATTAAAAAACAAACAAAAACTTACAACTATAACAATTACTGACTTAAGTCCACAAACATAAATGTATATTATAAAGAAAAATAATCTTCTATACAATCTCAATGCACAAAAAATGACTTTATTCACCAAAAGAAGGAACGATTTACATGGTATTTCAGAAATCATGAGTCAGTTATTATACTAGTTCAATAAATGCATATATTTCTGAAATTAGCATAGATTTTTGTCAAAGAATTCATTCGAGTTTTCAATTTCACAACATCAAACATTATAAAAAAGAAAAACACCCACCAAAACTGTGGTATCCATTGGGATTTTTAAATTACCATGATATATCTTTTACAAAAAATATTTAAAAAAAAATAAAATAAATAAATAAAATAAGATAAAAAGGTTATATTATTAAATATTTCTTCTGGTGGACAATATTTTCTTGTAACACAGCTCGTGAATTACAAAAGTAACATTTTCATATCTTTAGCGATAACACGCAAGACGCAAGTCGCCCCCTGGCGGGCGAACGATGACAACGCCAGCGGTCTTCTGGTGGCAGCCAACGGTGGGCTTCTAGCGGTCCGTCAGACCGCCGAGAGACGAACACGCCGGCAGCCGCACAACGGGCCACCAGTAGCAAAAGCTAGTGTCATGCCACCCAGTGGCAAATTGCTGGCTTGCGTGTAGGGTAGTTTCAAGGTTTGGTAAGTTATGCAATGTTTGTCGCATAACATTTATTCAGAAAATATCCACATTTTGGCAACTCAGATCGTTTGAAGCAAAATGTTTGGTCCACCAATATAACATGATGCCTAATATTGTTTTAGAAAATCTCCATGATACTGTTGATACCTATATAGTAACGTTCAAACCTAAACTTTACAAAAAATTTTAATTAAAAAAAATGGAATATTTCCAGCAAAAAAAAAAATCAACAGACTGGATGAAAAGTTGATGGCTTGAGTTATAGTCCATGTAATGGCTGACATAAAATCTTGCTTATCAATATTGTGACAAAAATTTTCAAAAGCCATAATTTTGCCCTTTTCTAGAAATTGTGCTAACTCATCATTTTGCATATTTCACACAGAAGCAGAAGCTTTACTTGTAGTTCTTGGTTAGGTTGAGGACCAGATAAGACACTTTATGTCAAATGATGAAATACTGATGGTGGATTTCTGGATCATACTTTCCTCTAATAACAACTATTTCATAACCACAACATCAATATGAAATACATGATTTCTGAACAGGAAAATTTAATGGTGAATATAAAGCTATATTAGACATAATTAGGTTGGGTGTTTTTTGGAAGTAGTTAAGTAACATGACTTAGATGATAAGGTGAAAAGTGCATTAATATTTTAGTTTGGTATTGTTGGTAGTCAAATTCAAGGTCTCTTCAAAGTTGATGATGGTGTCAAGATAAATGCTGAGAATTACTGAAATTTCTTACACAAGGCATAATTTGAGTGGTGCAAGTAACAAATAAAGCTTTAAGCGAAAGTTTATATTAATGCATGTCAATGCTTTTTCAAATACTGCAAAGCTGATTATTGCCAACGTTGCCAAAATGTTTATAAAAGATCAAATTAATTGAATGGCATCAGTCATTCTCAGAGACAATATTTCAATAGAAATCACGTGGTCCATTATTAAATGAGATGCTTATGAGAACGGAATTTATACTTCAGCAAAGAAGATCTCTGGCAACAGATAAAATCTGGTATATGTTATATTAAAATTGAAACAGTAGATAAGTTAACAAAATGAGGTATGATTCATAAAGGCTACAGAAGTTCAAGGAGCTAATGTTAACATGTAAAATAATAAATTCAAGAGAGATCATTGAAGTCATCATTGAATTTTGTGGCTTAGACCTTTGGAGATTGTGAATTAAAAATTGTCATATTTCACTTGTTTGCATAATAAAACTTGACAGCACCAAACAAATTATGATCAATTAATAAGCCGAGACTTACATGCTATTGCTCATCTAGATATAATTATATTCTGACAATTTTACCAACATCGATACGAATTTTGTTGCGAAAACATTTTGCATAATAAAATTTGATAGAGTATATGTTTACTTATGATTCAGGAAAATATTTATTTTTTTTAAGTATTACATTTTTTAGCAAAAGCCATATTAGAGGCTCGTATATGCATATTTTTGTTTGTAAATACATCAACTTTTCACTTAAACGTTATTACTTTTACAAGTTTAAACAAATGTTTATCGGGATAATTTCTATCTGTATATATTTATGCAATCTCTCTCTTATACACACACACACACACACACACACACACACACACATATAATCATGTTTATATATATGTATAAATGTAAAAAGGCACGAACCTACACATACACATGCACATGTATAGCATAAAAACGTAAACAATCTGCCTAGATTTTTATCTTATTTTCTCTTCAAAATGTGTAAATCACATGTATATGACAAAGATTTTTGTAAAATTGCCAACCGGAGGCAGCTGATTTTGAATGAAGTGAAGGTAAATTCTGACTTGTTCAATTCTGCGATAATGATATAATTTTTGTTCACCAGATGTCGCTTTCGTCTCCTGAATAAAACATTGCTTTTCTTCTCTTGTCTTGCACAAAAAATTCGACCCCACTCTCTCCAACCTCCGTCAAGTCACCCAGCAAAAAGAAAAAAGTTATTCAAGCAGGTGATCTGAAATATATACCTTAAAAAGAAAAGGATCCTTGTTTAAAAAAAAAAACACTTTCTAAACATTTAACTTTTCCTTAAAATGTTCCACCTATTTAAGTTATTTGATTGACATTGGTTATTAACATATATTCTATTCAGTATTATATATTTTTTACTGTGTCTATTTTAAAACCTGCCGATATCAGTTAATATCTCGATAAGGCATTACAATCAAGGATACGCCACATGTGTCGTGACAGTCGTTGAGCGTGTTGTAATATGTTAAAATTTAAACAGTAAAGTACACAACAATTTTATGATGCATACGTTAAATATATTTGAAGAAAGTTTTCATTTAGTTATTTTCTGTATGCGTTTGTCAGAAAATTTTTAGTGGAGCCATTTCTCTGATGTGCGTCGTTTTCTAATATGGTGCAATTTTCATCGGCTGTGCTGAAAGTAATCATTTGACATATTCAACACATTTTGTCATCAATATTGCTTACAGACCCTCTTCTATGTGATGTATCTTCGAATAACATAGATCCAGTTGAAAACCTCGTCAGTCACTGTAAAGTGGATTTATTCCTATTCAGCAAACGTTTTACATATTCTACCGAATGCATTGTCTGTTTTAGTTCAAAGTTTAAATTCGTACAGTAGATAAATTCTGACGATCAAATGTTATGCTGTTGCTACAGTGAATATACAAATGTTTATCAGGAACTTAATGATATGTTTAAGTCTTATATTACTGGATGTGCCTATATACGATTGCCGTTTAAACTAATTAGCTTGTAAAATTTGAGGTCACCTGATACAGTGACGTAAATGTACCTGGTTATATCAGGTGGCATAATACAGCTGATTATTCAAGAAATCGTTGAACACGAACAACAATTTATTTCTAGCTTCTACATTTATACAAACGTTTAACACCAACGTTTTCCCGAAAATCAGTGGGAAGCACTGAGCGACAAGTTGTATGGAGCAGTAATTAGGAGAATTAGTACACAGAAGTGACATGCAAAATGAGTTGGGCCATTTTTTTCTCTCATTCCACTTGGGTCATTTTTTACCTAAATTCACTTTATGTTTAAGTAATACGCTGAACATTTACTTTGAAACTTACCCTATGTGCCAGTTCCTGTAAGGGAATTGTTTTCGTTGTGCCTATATTTTGAATGGTATAGCATATTTATTAAAACAATTTTCTTTTTCTAAATACATTTAAATATATTTTTAAATATTCTTATTTTCTTGTATTTTTGATGTTGCTTTTTGGTTTTGTCTGCAATCAAAAGAAAATAAATGGCTGTAAGTGAATTCTTTCTTTATATTTTGTAGATGTTCAGTTTTGGAATGTTTTTTAGAGGAAAATCATCGGACAATCAGTTTAATGAGCCACAACCAAATTAATAATGAAAATTCTGATGAAGAGTGCACGAAGCATAATTAGACCGGAAAGTTCACTGGGACATGAAATGGAATATTCATGATTAAAATGATATCAGAAAGAAAGAAAGAAAGAAAGAAAGAAAGAAAGAAAGAAAGAAAGAAAGAAAGAAAGAAAGAGAAAGGGGGAGAGGGGAGAGAGAACAATACAAATGCAAAAGGATGTGCATTTATGTCATATAGATTACGCAAAAGCATTTGACAAGTTACAGCATAAGGATCTATTTGAACTGCTAGGAAAATTATATCTATTTGGAAAAGATGTTAGAATATTCTGGAACTTATGCTGGGAGCAAACCGCCTGCATATGGATAGAAAATGAAGTGAGTATCTACAGAAAAATAGAAAGGGGAGTGAAACAAGGATGTATCTTCTCTGTAGATTTATTCAACCTCTACAGCGATTAAAGAAACTGGAAACCCTACCAGGATTTATTAGCAATGAGCGTAATCTTAACAATATAAGATGCGCAGCTGACACTGTGTTAATGGGCGGCTCGGAAAGAAAACTAATGGATCTCCCAGACAGAGTAGTAGAAGAGAAGCGAGTAAAATATGAAGGCATCAAGTGCAAGAAAGCAGAAAGTATAGTTGTCAGTAAGAGAAAAAGCCCAAGATGCGAATTACAAATTGGAGATATCAACATCAAACAGGTGCAGAAGTTTAAATATCTTGGAAGCGTTTTACCAGAAAATAGTGAATGCGACACAGAGATCCGAACACGCATTGGACTGGCGAGATAAACATTCGAAAAACTAAGTAAGATGCGGAAAAAATCACTAGAAACAAAGAAAAGATCGCTGGATTATAACAATTCAGCACCCTTTTCTTTGTTTCAATGAAATTTGTCCGTTTCTAATATCTCTTATATGGCAGCAAATGCTGAACACTCTCCTTACGGACGAGAAGAAAATTAGTGGTAGCAGAAATATGCTTCTACTGAAGGATACTGATAATTCCATGGGGGGAACGAGTAAAGCAACAAGGAAGTCTTCAAGAAAATGGCAACAGAAAAAACACTTCAACTTAGAATCAGGAAAAGACAACTGAAATTCTTTGGAGATAACGAGGAAGCAGGGCGGAAAATCTTAACTGACACGGGGGTGGGGTGGGGGTTCATATTGAAGACCGACAGAAATTAAGGGGAAGGCAGTGAGGAACTTACCTGACGAGTTTGTGTGAATGGATTGTGGAATGGGTGGGGCCTTAGCAAAGGGATAAAAACTGCGTTCTGTCATCCACAAGGGATAGGAAGTTGTGGAGAGTCATACTCGTTTATGTTCTGAAGAGACGCGGCACAAAGAAGAAGAAGAAGAAGAAGAAGAAGAAGAAGAAGAAGAAGAAACCGTCTAAACATATTGCGTGTGTGTGTCTTATTTACCTATCGAACGAAAGTAGATGATGAATTCCTTTATATAAAGAATCACGGAAGTGATATAACATCTTAGTTAAGCATCCAAAACCTGAGAAGAAACATTCAGGCTACGATTTACTATTTAACAGACATTCCCTTTACTTAAGCGATCTTGTTCTGGTTTTATTACCCCATTTATCCCTTTAAAGCAAGTGTTGTATATCTTGTATGAAATAAATGCATGCATGTAATAAATATGTAAGTTAGACGTCTCTTTGCCTCCGCCCGTAACGAATGTAAGCGTGTCCTCAACGATGCTAAGTCACTATTTGCTGCTCGGATGAAGGAGCGTATTGCATCTCGCAAATTTGGATCCAAAGATTATTGGCGTCTCTGCAAGAGCGTATTGAACAATTGCAAACCCTCTATACCTCCTTTGTTCAACCAGTTCGAAGTCCTGACCTCCTCTGCCGACAAGGCTGAATGCTTTGCTCGGAAATTTTCATTCAACTCAACGCTCGACTTTGCCGGTGTACCCATACCCGACTTCCCTCTTAGAACTGAGGCCCTATTGAGTGGGTTACACATAACCCCGTCTTTGGTATTGGGCATTATCTCCAATTTAGACCCCAACAAGGCTTGTGGTGGAGATGGAATACCAGCCATTGTCTTGAAGAAATGCGCGCCCTCTCTAAACTATATAACTACTGACTCAAGGAATCTTGTTTTTCTGACTGCTGGAAGTCCTCTTCGATTGTTCTTGTCTTCAAGAACTCTGGCGACCCCTCTGACCCTTCTAATTACCGTCCTATCAGTCTCTTACCCCTCTTCGGCAAAGTCTTCGAAACCCTAATCAATACCGAAGTAGTTAACCACCTTACATCCCATGATCTGCTCTCAGACAAGCAATATGGCTTCCGCTTTGCCTGATCTACAGCTGATGGGCTTACAACCATCACTGAAATTGTCTACCAAGCTCTTCAAAATAATGGGGAAGCTCGTGCCGTGGCTCTAGACATCCCCAAAGCGTTTATAGGGTTTAGCATGCCGGCCTTCTTCGCAAGCTCCAGGTTTATGGCATTACGGGTCGATTGTTTGACCCAATACAATAATTCCTGTCAAACCGCGAATTAAGGGTCGTTCTCAACGGATTCTCCTCCAGTTCCTATCCCACGAACGCAGGTGTTCCTCAAGGCTCCATTCTAGGCCCCACTCTATTCCTTATCTACATAAATGACCTTCCTGACGCCATAAATTCCCAAGTTGGCATCTACGCGGATGACACCACAATTTACTGCTGCCTCAAAAACAAATCTAGTGTCACTGACAAAACTAACCTGGCTGTGCGTCTCGAAAAGGACCTCCAATCGGTTGTGAACTGAAGCAGGAATTGGCTGGTCAACTTTAATGCCTCAAAAACAAAACTGCTCTCTATTAATCACCACAAACATCCTTCACTGCCCTCCATTAGAATGTCTGACGCTCAACTTCTCGAGAGCACCTCTCTGCGGCTGCTCGGTCTCACGTTGACTGCTGACCTGAGATGGAACAAATACATTGAGTCAATTGCTTCGTCCACCGCAAGGAAAGTTGGCTCCCTGTGCCGCGCCAGGAAATTTTTCTCCCCGGAATCGATCCTCCAGATCTACAAATCAACAATTCGCCCTTGCATGGAGTGTTGCTGCCATATATGGTCTGGTGCCCCTTGTCTGCCTCGAGGTTCTTGATAGGCTCCAGAGGCGGATATGCAATATAATTGGCCCTGATCTGGCATCTCGTCTGCAGTCGCTTTCTCACAGACGCGCCGTCCCCTCTCTCTGTCTGTTTTACAAATACTTTCATGGCAATTGCTCCGAGGAGCTGCAGTCGCTGGTTCCCAGACTTCATGAGTTCAAGCGCCCTACGAGGCTGGCATCCAGCTCTCACCCTTCCACTGTCGAAACTCCTAAATGTAGCCGTCTCTTCTACTCCAATAGCTTCATATCTCGCACCTCTCGCCTGTGGAACTCCCTTCCCTATTCCAGTTTCCCTGAGAACTATAATCTCCAGTTATTCAAATGTAATATCAATCGACATCTCCAGTTGCCTTGATCTATCCACTATCCTTCTCATCTTTTCCTCTATCACTCCTATCTGATCTTGCTCCAAATTTTCTGTAACCTCTTGCGTCTCGCCTTGCTTGGGGTGAAACGCTTAAAAAAAAAGACGTATTTTCTTTTCATATCATTTGTACATTATTATCTATCTCTGTAATCACGTGACTAAATCATGCTAAGTTGGCACAATCACGAAGTTGAATACGCCTCTCTCAGAACTGCCCTTTAATTGTCTTAAGTAGGTGCTAAGAGGCGGCACTAAGTGTTTGGTTTTGAACTGGAAATCAGATTCAAAATATATTATTGCTTGTCATACAGGTATAAAGTGAAATTGATATATATATATATATATATATATATATATATATATATATGTATTGAACTTAACTTAATTTGGCACAAGAGGAAGAACTGGAAAAAAGATTAGGAAGAGAGTTACACAAGCGAGAAGAGCGAGAGAAGAAACTGCATCGAGCTTAGATAATTTTTCTCGCCAGAATCTATTTTAAACATTTATAAGTTTACCATTCATCTATGCATTGGGTATTACTGTTACATCTGATCTGACGCTTGATAAAATAAAAATAATCTGCAGTGTTATTTGTCCTGGCCTGGCATCCCGGCTTCAGTCATTTTCCCACTGCCGTAAATAAATATAAATGTAGCTTTTCTATAAATACTTTCATGGTAATTGTTCTAATGAAATTTTTATCTATCGTACCTAGATTGTATTAATTTAAGAACATTACTAGATTGGCAGGAGGCACGGTGGACTAATGGATAGCGATTGAAGTATCGGAGAGCCGAGTTCGAATTCCAGTCGAATCCATTACATTCACTTACGTGCTAATACCCTTGGGAAAGGTGTGAATCCTCTTCTTCTCCCTCCCCCCCTTCCCAAGTTATGGGTAAATAGTAGAACAGACTGGCTTCTATAGTCTTGGATGGTAACCGGTCTGCCGCAGAAAGAAATGGCAACCTACTGCAGAAAGAAATCTGCCTTGTCAGTTATGTATCGAAAAATCCATGATCGCCTAAGCGTGTATCACGCATGACATATAACTGAGTGACTAGATTGGCAGCAAGGTCTCATCATTTTACAATTGAAAATGACTAGATGTAACCGTAAGTTCTATGCTAACAGTTTCTTCTCTCACTTGTGGTTCTCTCTTCCGACTTCTTGCTTTCCAGTCTTCAAAAATTTAAATGCAATGTCAATCATTATCTTTTGCCTTCTTTATTGATACACTTTTATAGTTCTCTCTTCTTAATAATGTTTTCTCTTTCTCATATTCTCACACTTTCAGTACCCCCCCCTTGCGTTTAAGTGGCTTTATTGCCTTGCCTGGGGTGAAATAATTAAATAAAATCACAATAATTCAGTTTTATGCAATTTATTTGAGCTTCTATTAGTATGAATTCAGTTTCTCTCCTCAAATATACTCTTCACAGCCATGTCCATGTCATTTCATCTTCAACTCCTTATTGCTGCACTATCCATAGATTTGTTTTTTATTCTCAAAATTTCATTGTAAATTTGCATTGTGTTATTATTATTATTATCATTATTGTTATTTGTTTTCCAGCAGTTGTCGTGTGAGTAGCAATAAAAGTTTGTCTTACGTTTCCAGCTTTATTCATTCCTCGTGTTCTTGATTTCCTTTTCAAAATACTATTCACTACAAACAACCATATATCGAAAATCATATGTATAAAAAGTTGATAAGTATCGCTCGAAAGGAGAAAGAC